TCAGGGAGTCGCTGGCCCCTCTGCGGCTGGGGCGGCGTGAGGTTATACGGGAACACGGCGTCTATAGCGTGAGTTGCTAAAACAGAGGGCCGTGTTTCGGCACTTGTGCAATGTGTACACGGGTAACCCCGGCAACAGCGGGGCCGGCAGGCAGCAGCGTGGCTTGGCGGGGTCTGCGGAGCGGTGGGAGCTTCGCTGCGCGCAGCCCCGGTGCCTGCAGGTGCCAGAGCCAGAGGTGTGCGGAGCCACCGGGCTCCGTCACTCGAGCTCGGTGCCCCGGCAAAGCTCAGGAGGGTGCTTGACAAAAAGGACACGGTCAATGCAGCGATCGCAGGCATTTCCCATGGGAAGGGCACTCTGATTAAGCCATGCCCGGAGATGAAACCAAGCAGGAATTGCGTTCCCGGCATAGGCTGGCACTACAGAAAGGAAGGCTCTGCAAGGCCTGGCAGAGCAGTTGGCATGAGGACAGAGACTGTGACTTACAGACGAGCGTTGGAGAGGACTTCAGAAAGCTATCACTGCCCTGAGTGTTGTTTGTTCCTGAGAAAGAACCACCTTATCTCCTGGTGGGAGCAGCCAGTCAAGGCACTGCCTTCTGCTGATGGAAGAGTCCATATTCTGGCTGCAGATCCTGCCCTGCCCTTCCAGCTTTTTGTAGCGCTAGTGAAGGTGCTCAGAGGTGCCAAGCCTCGAAATCCTGCAGAGCTTGAGAGGGGTGAAGATGGGAGGACATGAAGGCACCAGGAAGTCTGCTGTCATCCCAGCCAGCTCTCTGCTGCTGTTGTGCTTCAGCTGCCTGCGGTGGGAAATGTCCCGGGCTCAGAGGGGCACCACGCACAGCACCAGAGCTGAGGTCCTAGGCACACAGGGATACTGCCAGGTATCTCGCAGCATGAAGGAGCCCTCATGGCTGAGATGTTGAATGGCATTTGTGAAGGTTCATCCTTTTGGCGACCTGGTTTGACGCAGAGAGCAGTTCTCCCAGGAGCCCATGTCCACCCCAAATCTGACCATTTCACTCATGTCTTCCCCAGAATCGATATAGTGCAGAAAGCTAGGAGGGAGGTTTCATGCCACAGCTGAAGGATGTCCTCACTTCCCAGCAAAAGTCCTACGTCATGGACCCCCACGGCTCTCTGGGCATCTCCGTGGCTTCCAATGAAATGCATGGGCTACCTCTCCTTGCAGAGAAGTCTGCAGCACCTGTACAGGCCAGCAGCATGTGGGGCTCTGCAGTGGCTGTTGGTGGCTCTGGGGTAAGGGATCCTTCTCGGGTTGGGTGTGTCTGTGCATGGCAGGAGAAGCTGGGGCTTAAGGTGCATTCTCAATCTGAGAGACTCCTCTTGGTAGCGGAGTACAAGGCAGAAAGAGGAAGGAAACTAAATGGTGAACCTGAGGGTCCTGCTAGTAAGGTAGGACATCTGCTCCCTTTCCTACTGCACTCAAAAGCTGCCACCTTGAGACATCCCAGACCTTTCTCTAAGCATCCAAGGGACTTCCTCAGCCCAGAATCCCACTTCCACTTGCCCCCAAAGAACACAGCGACCTTCCTGCAGCATGATGTGCATCCGACTATCCTCCCTGCGGTTCTTGCCCTTCTGTGGCTCAGAAGCCCACCTGAAGTTACACATCTGGCAAGGTCACTGACTCCCTGCTCTTCAGGAAGGCCCCCTTGTAGACTTGCCCCCAACCCCCTAGGAGCCATCACCTGAGCAACCAAAGTCATGCAAAAAAAAAAAAAAAAAAAAAGAGGAAACTATTTAGCAAAGGGTATAGAAAATTTTATTGTGGACAGAGCTAATAAAGAGCTCCATACATGACTTTGGGGAAGCTTCCACATGGACAAAGGATAAGAAAACATATGATGTCTGCTCAGGGACAGCTGGAGAGAAATTACCAATGCTTTCTGCTTGGAGGGCCTGCCGGCCTTCAAACACTTGAGCCCAGCATTAGCGTGGGCTAATGGACGATGGCAGACATGAGGAGAAACAATAGGAATCGTGTTGTCTAACTGGGATCTGGAAGTGAAAAGATGTCGTGGTGCCTGTTGATAAGTAGTGCAACACATGCTGATCCCCAGGCATTACTTCCCAACACCCCAGTGCTGCCAGCACGTGCGGCTGGCTGTGGTAGCAGGGCAAGCTGCCATCTGAGTGTGACCTGCGTCAGCCCCTCCTGGAAATTCAAAACATGATGACTTTGATGGCTACAGGAGATTTCATTTTTGCTGACTGATGGCTCATATAGTTTTATGAAAAATCAAGTCTCCTCATTTCAGCTCCTTCAAGAGTAAAAAGTCAGGCAACACAAAGAATGGCAGGAAACCCCTGTAAAAAAACCTGGGGCCTGTGATCCAATCTATACTGCTTTGCCAGATGGTTCCCAAGGACTTTGCTGGGAAGTGCTTGGCCTGGAGGGCATGTCCATGGGCCACCCAGCTGGCCTTGAGGATACTGAATTATATCTGCACTCAATACCAGAAGACATTCTTGGGTGTCATTTCCACCCCATAAATCCTTCAGGTCCAGAAAAGTCTTTCTAACACTGCCTTGTTTGTGCCACACACCATGTGGCTTTCCAAGAAGAAGGAGCACACGCAGGCAGAGTCTGACCAGGGGCTGAACCTCTACAACACCAGCCCTCCACACTGTTCATTGACCATCCTTGGCTGAAGTTCAGTAAGGCCAGATCCTTCCCCGCAGACTTTACCCTGCCCGCAGGGCAGACGTTTGGAGCTGGCCCAAGTCTGGTCCACAGACCTCTTCTCAGATTCACATTTCACACCTCTCTGCAGGTTACAGCTATGCATCAGTCCAGCCTTCTGACCTCCACCCATCCCAGAGAAGGGGCTCCTCTCAAGGCTCAGGACAGCTCTCAGGACTTTGTCATTCCCCACCCCATAGAGATATTTAGCTGAAAAACCCAGATCTCTAGCTCTTCAGGATACCAAGAGCCTAGGAGAGCAGGGGGCCAGTAATACTGCTCTTGAAGATGGCGTGGCTGCCTCTCTAACTAGAAGGAGCAGAGAGAGTCCAGAGGCAGAGATGGTGTAACCCAACCGTCTATAAGCAAAACTGCTGGATGTTGAGAAACTTCCTTCTGCAGCTCCCTGTTGTACTAATCCTGAGCCTAAGAGAGGAAATGGCACATGGGACCTACAAGCTGGGGTGCCACGCACATGGATACTGCACCACCTGTGCAAGAGGACTCCTTTCCCCTGTTTCAGGTCTGCAAGAACCATGTGTTTCCAGCAGCAGATGCAGCATTTTGCCTTCCCCTTGAAGGCAAGGGCTGCTGGAATTGACCACTACCTGGTCACAGGTTTGTGGTTTTGGCTGTGTGGTAGTGCTGGGGGACTTCCTGAGGGAGCTGACCCAAGTCCTGACATGGTCTTTAGAGCACACAGAGATTTTTCAGCATAAAGCAGATGCCCTTGTGCTGCTCTCTGCTGAAGTATACTCTCCAGAATAAACTCTGCCTTGGTCAAAAGCCCATCCTATGCCAAAATAATACTAGCCAAAATACCATCCTGTTCTCAAAAAAACAGGCAAGTATTTGGGAGCTCCAAGGGAAGCGCAGACCCCTCAGCAGGGCAATGGCTGGGAAACGGGTACATCAGAGATGAGGATCAAGCCTGCATTCTTATGCTGACTGTTTCCAGCAAGCAGTTTTGTCTAGATATCCTGGTCTGCTCTGAACTTTTCCTGGTGGATACTCACAGATTGAGCTGCTCCTAGGAAAGGAGTGGAAAGGCTTAACATGAGTCACTTCACGTTTTGTCTTGTCCTTCCCTACCTGCAAGCATGACAGTATGGAAAAAGGGGTAGACTCAGTCAGTGGTGTCCATGCATCATGGAAAACATGAGTAATTAAGCAGAGCAAGAGTAATTAAGCAGAGCAATTAAAACTTCTTCTGTTTGCTCTTCCCTGATGGTGTATGTAGGTGTTCACACAACACTAGCTGAACTGGGGCCTGTTCAGAAATGGTGCAACTGGCCAAGGCAGCCGCTGCTGCTCAGGGTGCTAGCCATGCAAGGGAGGCTGTGCAGGCTCAGTAGCTGCCAAATGACAAATTGTGCCAGGCACATACATGCTGGTGGCAAAGCCCATCAAGATGTGTGATTATCCAGGATCCTGGCCTCTGATGCAGCTGGCTGCTCTGCCGATGTGGTTTTCCTGGCACCCCAAGCCTCAGGGCTCAGGCAGGAGCCAGGTGCAGGGCACGCTGCCACTGGAAGCCAAGAGGACGGGGAAGCGTAGGCTCCGCAGCACTGCTCATCACCATGAGGACGGTGCTGTGCTTCTGGCTGCCTGCCCCTGGGTCTCGTGCAGGCGTTTTCTGCCAGTACAGACTTCAAACTTGGCTGCAAACTGTTGCTGATTTGGCAGCTGAGAAAATGGAAAGATGACAAAACCTGTCTCATTGCAGATTTTCTGATAAGGAAGCAGCGCTGTGGGGCACAGCGCACTGGGAAGGTGCAGCCTTGTACAAACTATGCTGCCTTACAGAGTTCATGCTGGTGGAGTTGGCAAAAGTGCTTGGTAGTGCACAGTGGAGAGCGGTAAAGGGACAGAGAAATTCTGGGGTTACTCCCTGACCATCTGCTCAGGTCCCCCCAGCACGATCCAAAGACTGACTGGGTAGAGGCAGACGGGACATTTGGTTTTAAGGGTGCCGTGGAACAGCAGAGATGTAGTCTTGTTTCTCCCCAAACGTTCTCCATGAATTTTACTGCAGTTTTAGTTTCCAGAGGGCTGTGAGGGTGCAGCCTTTTACTTAGGAAAGCATTTAGCAATATGCCAGGGGACCCACCTCAGGTTTGCCATGCTGCAGGACTTTTCCTCTCTCTCAGCTGGGTCTGCTGGAAGTGGGACAGCATCAAGTAAAAGGACTCTGCTGACTCTAGGGAATAGGATGAGTCACTAGGATGAAGAGCTTTGAACAACGACATACAAGTAGAATGGGAAGAAGAGTCCTGGGTGGAGAGAACAAGTGGAATGAGAACCTCTTTCCTTGTTCCACAACGTTATGGCTTTGGAAGGCTGATTCCTAGGCTGCTGTGGTGTTTGTCCTTATGTCCTTGAAGTATGGATTTTGTCTGCCCATGTACAAGTTGGTGGTGCATTTTCTGTGGTGTGGCTCAGACGTACTCTCACTAGGCTGGGGCCGGGGCACATGAGGCTCTCCACTGCTCTTACTTACAAACACAGCAGGGATCTTAGAGAAAAGTTCCAGGCCTTGTTCCTGGCTGCCCTCTTGCTGCCAGCTTTTCGTTTTCACCTTGTGCCCAGAATAGAGATTCTTCTCCTTGTCACCTCTGGGAGTGCAGTCGGACAAGGGAGAGTGTTGAGAACTACTCAAACTCCTCTTGGAAGGTCTATGAAGGGCTATGCTCCCAGTGCGGGTCTGAGCCACAGGAATCTCATCCATGGACTCAGCAGACTCCAAGTGATAGTCACCAGGGGATCCTGCTGCTCGGATGGGGCCAATACTGCCAGTAAGAAAAGCGGCTCTCACGGGGAAAGCTGGCACTAGGAGGTGACGGCTGTGGGAAGCGGACTTGGCACGAGCCGTTGATGGGCTCTCTGAGGATGGAAAGAAATGGAAAAGAAAGATCAGAAGAGAGGAAAACTTCCCTCAGCCCCATTCAGACATCAACAAGTCCAGGAACTTTTAGCGTTAAAGGAAATAATTCATATTTATGCAAAATTAGATACAAAAAATGTAGAGAATTCTGCATTCAGTACTTTAGTCACACATTTTCCCTTGTTAGGCAAACTAACTTCCTCCCTTACGTTTATTTCTTCTTATCTTGCCATCTTCCCTCATTTTTAGCGAACTCCTGGCTACACAGCCATGCCAGTTTTGCATTTTGTTTCCTTCTTTTTACTGAGTCAGGAAACTCCTGCCTTCTGTGTTTCTGACCCAGTTGCTTAAGTAGCCCAGTACCGTTTTTTTGAAGATTAAGTTTTCCCTCTCTTCTGAGTAATCTTCCCTTAAAAACCAAAAGTGATCCTTGGTAAAGCTAGACCTCACCACAATAGTTTTTACCACAACCTTCTCTCCAGGAATATGGAATGAGCATCATTGTTTTTACTGCTACAATAATACCTTGATCAAACTGTTAAGAGTAAGAACAGCCCTTTTCCTCAGCTATTCTAGGACTAGGAGTTCCAAGAAATAACCATTTCAACTGATTTTAGGTGCACAGGTGCGCATATGCTTCCAAAGTGAAACCCATGATATTTCTTAGGTATCCCAGCAAGAGCTTGGGCTCTTCACTTCTTTCTTTTCTCTACTTTTAAACACAGCTTTCTATTTATGCTTTCAGATTACAGCTAACTGGAAATGCTATGAAACAGAGGAGCTGACTGTTGCACTCTCTCACCTGACCGGGGATCTGGGAAAGAGGGCCAAGGTCTAATGTGTGTTTTAGATCTGCTGTCCTTTGCTGAGGAAGGAGCTTTATGCATCTTCTTCTTCCTTCTTTTTTTCTGTTGCTGTGAAAACAAGAAGTTCAGGAAATCATTTCATCAGCCCAGAAAAGACGCATTTTAAAAAAAAAGGTATCTTAACAACTCCTTTTTTTTTTAATATGCATTAGATATGACCAAAAACCAAGAAGTATTTTGTAGTTTAAAACTCACCAAACCACAGAATGGTTGCAGTTGGGAGGGACCTTTAGATACCATCTAGTCTAGTCTCCCTGCTCAAGTAAAGCAGGCTCTTCAGGACCCTGTCCAGATGACTTTTGAATATCTCCAAGGATGGAGACTCCACAACTTCCCTGGGCAACCTGGTTCAGTGCTCAGTCACCCTCACAGCAGAGAAGTTTCTCCTTAAGTTCAGATGGAATTGCCTGTGCTTCAGTTTGTGTCTGTCACCTAGTTCTCTCACTGGACACTTCTGAGAAGAGTCTGGCCGTCTTCCTTACACACCCCCTTCAGATATTTATATGTGTTGACAAGATCCCCCCTCAGTCTTCTCTTCTACAGGCTAAACAGGCCCAATCTGTTGATTATAAAACTCAAACTAGACTGACTAGCTATAGAGCAGCGATAAAAAATAGGTATTTAATGAACACATATATTATCTGCATATAAAGAATTTGGTGTGTTTGGATTCCTTTAGGCTGTTGTCTCACATCTGTAATATTTATGAGATACTGCTCGAAAAATGTATTTGTAGAGTCAAACCAGAAAAGGGTACTAAAAGTCACCTAGCACAGGACATACCAAGGGAGACAACTTTTGTTCAAAATACAGGTATAGCTGAAAGAGGATTTTTCTTACCCTTTAAATGACAAGACTTTGCTTAATAAGCTTGGAAGAATGGCAGGGAACACCACTACCTGCCATTTGATCAAGGACAGGGCGAACAAAATGTGGAAATGAACCCTAAGAAAGCAGAAAACCTGACTTTGGACAGCTGTTTTATATACCACACACTGTCCTTCCCTGGACAGGTGATCTAACCTCCAAATTTGAATGTATAAACTGTTGAGTCTTGCTGCACAGAAGCATACAGCTTGCTACGTCAGTGAAGTAGCATTGATGCTACATTGATGAAGTAGCATTGGAACAGGAAGATATCACAGAGGCTTCATGCGCTGTGGGTAAGCTGTGAGCTTAGGAAGGAACCACATGTACCTGGTGATACATGAGAGCAAAGACAGGAGAGTCTCTCTTGGATGAAGTGACTGCAGGGAATAGCCATAGCTGCACACACACACACACTGAGGAATGGAAGGGCACATGGGTGAAGGAGGACAGCCCAAACACACTGCACGACACAAGCATGAGCCCGTGCAGTTCCATAAACTGGTGGCATTAGGAGTTATGGGATGCAGCATTACCACTTACCTGAGAAGGGCCTGCAGACGGGAAAGTTGGAAGGTCAGGAGACAAGCTCTGCTTAGGATCTGCTTCATTGTTGGGGATGTAGAGCTTTGAAAAGCTAAAATACATGGCAGTCATTCAAGATGCTTCCCTAAACACTACTTAACAACTCTAATGCCCATTTTCTTGGCACATACCTAGCTGGTTTTAGGGGGAATGCTGTTGTGGTTCATGTCTCTTGATCCCCTAAAACCTTATGATTAAAATGAGCTCAATACAGAAACTATTGCACGTACCAGCCCAGAAATTAAAGCTAGTAAGATACCATTTTTTGTGAAGCAGTGGCTCTCAGGAGCACACTGCATTATCAGTACTCTGTAATGTCACCTGGCTTCCACATGGAGTGGAAACTATTGACTTCAACAGATATACTTATGGCTTGGGAAGAGATATATAGATGTAGGGGTATAAATGCAACATCAGCATGAACTGCACCTGAAGATGTTTCTGAGACTGATTTATTTCCCCAGATTTAAAAAAAGAAAAGCTTCTAAGGGATTTTTTTCAATACTAGACTTTTTCAAGGAAACCATCTGAAAGTGTTGAAGTCTTTAAGGGACAAAAATAATCTATTCAGGAAAAAAATCTATGGGGAATAGAAACAGTTTAAGGTCATATTTCCTGATGCAAAAGCACGCTAGGACATTGTGCTGAGCAGGTCATGTAGCTAGTAGTTCAACCTTCCTTATCTCTTCTTATGCTTTTGACTGAATATTAGAAGTATTCAAATATGAAAGTCCGGGTGATAAATATTTTAAACATCATGCTAGACTTTAATTTAGACATGTTGCAAAAAATAGGAACTGTTAAGGATGTACTCAAATGCTACACTTCCCTAGACATGTCTTGAACCCACACAGACGATCAAGTAAGCACAAGCTCTCAAAATTCTGTGGCTGGATTTCCTATTTAATTCCAGGGCAATTTCACTGTCACTGCTTATCAGAAGCTCTCTAAGTCTAAACACAAACTTTGCAGGCTTTCATATTTTCCTTTTTGTTCACAAAGTGGACTCAAAGGTGCTTCAGTGACAAAGCTGACCATCTTGCTTTAAAGTTGCACCACAGAAGCTTCGACACATGTTTCAGTGCAGCTCCCAACTGTATGAGAGACAGTCTCGGAGTAAGTTTAAAAAAAAAAACAGTCTGGAGTTTTCTCTAAAAGAGCTTTTCCAAGGGAGGGGAGGCAAGCACTTTTACAAACATTTAGCCTCCTGAAACTCAGAGGCTTGAGCATACCTTGGTCAAAACAGGGGAGCTCCTCATCCTCTAAAGTGTTTTTGTCTCAGGGGACATCAGTGACTTTGGGAATAACTTTCCACCCAGCATATATGCTGCTGGAAACCACCTGTCTCTAACTACTCACTCTTTTCCTGAAGTTATGGCTGGAGATTCCTCCACTTGAAAAGTAGGGTCTGTATAGCCAGGGTTGCCTGAAAAAGAGTCTGCTTCCTGAAAAAGAGAAGCAGAAGAATTTTCAGAGTCTTTTCAATTCCAAATTGAGGCGACAACAAGAAAGGATGCAATATACAGGGGGAAAAAAAAAGCACCGTAATTTCTCATGTGAAGCTTGTATGGCTAACAATATTGTGGTGTGTTTTTCTCAACAAGAATGCTTTGTCTTACTTGTTTTACATAGGTAAAAATTCAAAGTACTGATGCCCTGAATTTTGAAATTACATACCCTTCTAAGCACATAAGAAGGCTTGATTAGTAAGCCTCCTAACTCCAAGTGTCTGCATTAAGGAAAAGGGCTCCCTTTTCTCCCTCCAAAGCAATGCACTCTTAAAATGGTCTGAGTACCAAATGATGCTGTTTATGAAGCCCAGCTGTAAAGAAGGATAAACCACACCCCAGAGACATAGACTTGCCGGATCATTATACTTTTCCTAGCTGCTCTTAAACTTGAATAACCAGCAAGGCAATCCCTAAACATTTAGTGTGCAGTGACTATATGTGCAAAACACATATAGATTTTGAGTTTTTTTTTTTTTTTTTTGTAAAGACAAGCAGGATTTTAAAATGCAATTGACAATTTTAGCCTGATAAGCTTAAACAAACTTAGGGAGACTGATTCTTTAGAACAGCCTGATCAGCAAGCTTGAGAAAATGAAGTCAAAGTTGGACATCTCACAAGCAGGTTCCTGAGGGACCCAGGGCCTCTGCAGGTCAACAAATGCATAAACAACGTGGAAAAGGGCAGAACAGTGAGATGAAGTCTGCTGATGATGCTCCCTTATGTAAGGCAATAAAAATGAAAGCCGACTGCAAAGAATTGTAGGAGATTCTTCTTACACTGAATTACGGGGTGATCAAATGACTGAAAAACCCGTATTGCTAAATATAAAACAATGCACATAGGAAAAGCAACTTAAGCTTTATATAAAAAGCGATGGTCTCTAACTGGAGAAGAATTCCTGGAGGTCACAGTCAGCCACAGCCAAAAAATCATTTCAGATGATAGGAATGAGAAGGCATAAAAATTACACAAGCAGAAAATAGCTTTACGCTACTGAATAAATTCATAGGCAGCCTGGACACTGAATACTCTGTACAGGTCCAGGCCCATCTCCCACAGAAGACCTGGATAAAGAGTCTGAAGAAAGAAGAACAGAATAGAGAAGAATAGAAGAATAGAGAAGACTGACATTACTCCATAACTCCAGTTATGGAACAGTTTCTGTGCAAGAAACAGCTCACAGGGCTGGGCTTTTCAGCCAGGAGAGAAAAGGCTTCAGGGCAGATAGGAGTGGTAGGAGGAAAGCAAACAGGCAACCACTGTCTCCATACTGCAACATGTAGGTATCATCAAATAAAACAGTCAGGATGTACACTCAAAACAAGCAAAAGGAGGGCTGTTTTTTCTCCCCCAGCATATAACTAATCCCCAGCACTCGCTGTCACAGGAGGCTGCAGATGCTAAATGTTACACAGCTTCAAGAAAAAAAAAAAAAAAGGAATCACTGTGGAAGAAACCTGCATGTACAAAGTCATTAAAAGGAGCTCTATGTTCCAGAAGCCCAGGCAACTATTGCAAAATGCTGCTATGAGGACCATACATATATTCTGCTCCTGCACTCTTCTTCTTAGCATCTGCAACTGGCCAGTGTCAGAGGTCTGCACTGATCAGCTTTGGCTGCCCTCCTTTACACACCACAAGAGAAACTTCCCCAATTACTAGTTACTTCTGAAAACTTGGCATGAATGTCTAGAGTCTTTTTACTCATTTAATTCTTGATAAGAGAGTTGCCAAACCGGGAAGACTCCAGGCATGTTAATTTTTCTAACTTTGTGGTTGTGCAAATAGGTAAAGAGAGGAAAAGAGGGGAAAAATAATTTGCAACTAGTCTGCAAGTCCTCACATTAGATTCAAAGAGAATTGCTTTAGCAGTTTTTGAACACATGGATTTTCCAAGGTTTCAGGTTTGAAAAGTCTGCTATGTTGGGGTCACTGCTCTAAGTAGGGTTTACCTGAGTGCAGGATTAATAATCCTTACGAATTTGCTACATGCACTTCAAATGTAACTTGTCAGGTCATTGCTCATCACTGACTGAACATGAGGCGTGTGTAAATGTTTGCCTAAGCTCCTTGGAGACCAAATTCTGAGCACTTACATTCAAGCCTCAGGCACAGGGGCTCGCAAATGAAGGAGACTGGACATAATCTTGTATTCCCACAATTATATGTAGGTCTTTTCAGAGGCAACTCCACTGTGCCTGAAAGCAGCTGCAGCAGGAGACATCGTCCTTGGACGGTGACCATGAGGGTGCACAGTTAGAGCAAACCAGCAGGACTCGGTGTCTACAGACAGCACTGCAGGCCTAGCAGTTGACAGGAAATTAATAAATGATACATCCTGCAAGCTTCATGAGCCATTCTTTCCCAGCGGGGAATAAAAGAGCTTTTTAAGATCCACTTTGTCCATTTGAGCCTTGTAAAATATGCGTAAGCAAAGCAACCACATTAAAAAAAAAAAGCAAACCACAAGGGCTAACTGGCAGAAACACATGGATAAGTAGAAAATACAACGTTCTCTCAGTATTGAAACAGCTAGACTTGCACAGCTACTGCACGTAGTCCCTGAGGCCTTAGCAGCCAATCCAACCTCCTTCACCTGTGAAGATGAAGCCGCTCTTACCAGTGGAGTTGTCCGGATTCAGCTCTTGCCTGTACTGCAAATAGATGGCTCAGTTGTTTGCCAAAATTCATTGCCACCTTACAGCTCTCCTGCCATGCTCAGTCTCTCCTTTCAAAGGCCAATACCAGCTGTGTCTGTCTGCCTTCCTAAGCTCTATGGTTACAGCTTCTGGTGAAATGAATTCAGCTCCCTGCCCACGGCAGCTGTGCTTCTCATCATCTATTTCGGTGGCAGAAAGTGCCCTAAAATGCTCTCGAGTTGGAGAAGAGGCAGAATCAACTAGAAAAAAAATGTGATTTTTTGGGGCCCAGGGAAGCAGGCTCTGCTGCGAGTGTTGAGGCTGCAAGTGAAGATTAGATGGAATCTGACCAGACATTAGAAAACAGAAGCAATATTGAAACTGTGAAGGTAGCACAGCAAAATCTGTTTAGCATTTCAAACCAAATCTCACCGACCTAAAATATCATGTCCGAAGCAAGTCAACAACAATATAATGCCCAGGACAGCAAACTCTTAAGATGAGGATACCCATAATATAAAGAAATAGTATCAGAAAGTAAATATTGTTCCAAAGATAGCTATTGATCAGATTTTTTAGCCTAAAGTATGCAGTAATGCAATGATACACTCCTTAGGATACCATCCTATCAGCACCCCCCACTGAATGTCCCCCAGTTAGGATCTCTAGGATAGTGTCTTTCTAAAGACCAAAATAACTACAAAAATATACAGCTAACCAAACTGTAGTTCAAAACTGGCTCCACTTTGGTGGACATGCTTTATTATGCTTATTCAAATAGAGAGGGAATTCAGGATTATGTTCCAGCATCATCTGTATAGGTCTCAGCTATTTATTGGTTTTAGGTTATTTTCAGGCTTATCTACTGATAATTTTCTAATCTTTTTCTTAATTATCCATTCAAGTTTCATTAAATTTGGGTATTTTTTCAAGAGAATAAATAAATAGTGAGTGACCTTTTATTATTTTTAATGTATTAAAATGCCTATGAGTTTAATGATACCAGTTTAACGTATGTCTTTCACCAACAAAACAGAAATGTCTGTTCCCAGTGTTCAAACTGAAGAGTTGTATCCAGGTAAGAAAAAGCTTCTTGCTTCTCATATGGTAATCAACAAACCCTCAAATTATGAAAAAGAAAATGTCATGGTATTAGTCTATACCAGGTAAACCTTTTCTTACAGCTCAAACTATCCACATCCCAGCAGGTTGTCACTCTGAATGCAGCAAGGCATTAAAGCATCATTTTTGGTTTAGTTTATATTTTTTTGGATTGTCATTCAACTATCTTCAGAAAGACTCTCACTTGCACACTTTGGTTATTGCTACAGAGGCAACAAGTGAATTTCTTTTTCTTGCATTTTTATGCTATCTGAACCATTTAAGTGGTTTTGCTACAAACTGACTACTTTCACTTTGCACATGTTCTGAGAAGGATCTTTTTAAATATATAAGAATCCTTTAATCTGAATGTGGATGAAAATTTAACAAACCAATGTGTAAAACTGAAGCCAAAACCAACACTCAGGCTTGAGTGAGGCTCAAATATACCTATTAATGGAAAATTTGTGCTTCTTCTTACTCCCTAAAATGAATGAACAGTCAAGACAAAGGTGGGAACGCCGTAATTTCCATTTTGTGCTTGCAAAATCTTGGATCAACTACAAAGGATTTTTATCTCCAAGCTAAAAAAGGCTGTAGTCAACAGTGCTTAGTTCACAAAAGGCAAGTCACTCGGTGTCCTCCTACTCCAATCTATTTGTTTGTGTTTATCTCTGGTTGCTATGTTAGAAACAAGAAAAATCTGGTGGGTTAACATTTTTCTTAACAATGTGACCAGGCATCTTCCAATCTTTATTGTTCCCCAAAGTATTAACTGTATTCCTGAAATACAGAACTGCTTTTCACCCTGCTTCTTTTAGCTTTGCTGCTTCAAATTAACCACATTCACACAGATCTATGCAAGCCCTGGTGCCAATGGGAGATCACTGCTGAACAGTCTCATCTCAAATGCACACAGTCCATCTTTGTTTGGGTATATTTCCAGTAGCAATCAAAATTCAGTAACAAAAAAAAAATGATTAGAGCTAAAACTTTATTATGATTTTAGTTTTCATAATAAGCAAAGCTCTAGGAGACAAAGTGCCAAACATTTTTGTTGTTATGGAAACCTCCATTCAAACTGAAAGTTCAACTTTTCCGAGGAAGTAAAAAAAAAAAAAAAAAAGAAAAAAGTATATGAAAAGCTGAGATCTCTATTCTACACAAAAAGGCAATTCACTCATTTTCCACTTTCCTCTGATAGGGAAAAACCGTTAATGAATCCAGAGATAGTGAGAAATTCCAAATCAGCAGTATTTCTGCATACAAGAGATAATTAATTTCTTATGAAATATAAAACTGACTGTATAATAGATAACTACAGAACTAGATGGAATTACAAGGGTTCACAAAATCATAGAATAATTTAGACTAGAAATAACTTTGGGGGGGCCTTAGCTCAATCTCTTATTCAAGGCCATTCCAGTTACAACAACCAAATTTTGAGAATCCCCAAGGATGGAGATGCCTTTCAGCAAAGTAAGTTACACCAAATAGCTCAGTTACTAGAACATATGGCACTGAACAGCGTGATAGCAGAAAAGAGCTTGTAAACCTCTTTTACAGAGATAAGATCAACATCACAGATGCTTTCACTTCTGCAGATCTCAGTTCAAAGAAAAGCCAGCCTAGCTAGGCCCTTTCTGAACATAATTTGCCTCCTTCTCTTTTTCCAAGATGGCAAAACAAATTGGTATCAATTGCTCAATAATTAACCCAAATTTATCTAGTCTTAGAACCTGTCTCGCTCTCAGTCATGAGACCACTCACACAAGGCTGCAAAATTTGACAAAATTCGACCAAAACAGATGAGCTTGTCCTTCCCAGTGACAGGAGCCCTCCCACTCTTCAGTCATCTGCTCTCATGGTGACACAAACATTTATATGACTGCTTAGTGAACCAAACAGCAGGGATCAGCCCAACTATACACTAGTTCTACTCTCTTTTTTTAAGTACATTCTCACCCAGATGAGATTCCCCCGCCCTGTGCTCTGCATGACTGTAACAAACAGCTGCACTGGCAGAAGGGAATAGACAGGGCTGGGCCCAAAACACACGGCTGAGACAGAGGGTGGGTGGGACTGATTCTTCTGAAAGTGCTGCTTGTTTCTGCCCAGGCTGCCAAAGGACTTCAAAATGTTTAGCCCCAACAACTGCCTCTAAAATGTGGAGCTTACAGAACTGAAGCAAACTCCACCAGGAGGACCAGCAAGGCTGGGTTGTTTTTTCTGAGATAAGTATTGAGCATACAAGTACCTGACTGGGTTTCAGCTGGGAGGGACAAGACTCCAGAGGTTTGTCTACCTCTTTCACCTCTAGTTGGGGACGCTGCTGTAGAATGTACTCATATGTAGTCAATTTGTTCCACACTGAGAGAAAAGGAAGAGAGATGTCAGTGCATGAAACGCCACTCCCCAATTATACTTACACCTGGAAAACAGTTCAAATAACTATTTGCAATTAAATAGTAACTATAAACATGAAGAGGCAGAATACCTTTGCAGTGTCTAACTATATTCCTTATTGTCTTCATCATGACACTACATCCTTCCACACTATCCTTCTATAATTTCATATATTTGATATATTCTTCTATGCTGTAGCAATTTATTTAGCATATTCCAAACAGAAGCAAAGCTGTTATGCAGATCAGTATGTTAAAGATCTGTATCCTACAGAAAGCTCAGAGAGTTGTCAAAAAAAAATCTAGTCTAACTGTATACTCCTGTATTGGAAACTAACTGTAGTCTTCCAGTCTGGGGAAAATCGAAAAGCTCCAGCAAGGACTTGCACACATCACACCTCCACACAGCACTGATCCAGCTGGAATCAACTTCAAAGGCTAGTAAACCTTTCAGGTTTGTACTATCTGTTATTAATGATTAAATGTTGTTTCCCTGTAATTGATAAATATTTCAATTTGGATGCAAAAGAAAACCTAATTTGGGTCAAAAATTATTCTGAAATAGGAAAAAAAAATACCACAAAACAAAATTAAAAAACAGAATAACATTGGGATAACACCTGCAAATGCTCCGGATGTGCAAGAGGATGTGCAAGTCCTTGCTCCAAAGGAGGGAGCACCCTCTCGTGGCTGTTGAACACAAGGACAAGATTAAGTACGCCTGCTACTGAATTAGATGATCCTTTCTTGGCCATCAAAATGAAGTATTCCTGGCGTGGCCCCAGCATTTTTATGCTTTTTTGTCTTTCTGCAGCACTAGACTGATGTTTGAAATGCTCAGGAATCATCGTTAACCGAGTACAGTCAACTGCCAATTGCACAAAGCAGGCAAAATCACACAGAATAGCGCAAATTTAAGTTAAGCTCCAAGAGGCTGTAAAGGGAAACCAGTGACTCCACTGATCGTAACATTAGCAATGTAAGAGGACTCATCCATCAAATGCTACACTTCACAAGTGTAACGGTTTTGCTTTGAAATTGCACTGTGGTGGCAAAGCACTGTTAGCTGACAACAGAAAAAATCCACCCATAGTCTGTAACTGGCATTCTCATTCCTCTTCCGGCGTGTCCCTTCTGCTCTAATTTTGGCACCAGTGACAATTGTGAGGGTAGGATCTTTTTTCATCCTAACTCATGCAAGGCAGCCAAGTATTATTGGCTTCACTGTAGACGATGATTGAAAAAATAAAGTTTTTGAGGCCCACCTGCACTTCCAGGCATAAATTTCCCTTCTGGATGGAACAACAAATGGGAGATCTAACGGAAAGCCCTTCCGCTGACTTTTTCCTCTGAATTCCATGAACTATTTTGTGCAAATATAGTACAATTCCATAAGGAGATCTTTATCTACAGGACAGGCCCCCTGCTAGAAAATCAGACCTATACTTTCTACACTTACATAAGGTAAAGGAGAAATTGGATCTCTCACATGATCAAAGCACAGTAAAGAAACTCCCCAAAGCACCTATGACTCAATCTGAATCTGACATCACTAGAACTGAGATCAGCTGGTTTGTCTCACTTGGCCTCCCTTATGCTTTTATCTCCAAGATAGCACAGTTCAGGCACATGAAAGCACAGACCTAAATTTGGCCCCATTTTGCCTGATACTGCAGTTGTTGGGAACTGGGGGGTCTGTCGGACATAGCTGACCTTAGGAGGTTGGTATAAACACAAACCATGTAAGATCCAATCTAGTTGCAAACCAGTTTGCAAAACTGGAGTTGCAAAGCATGCATGTATGCACCTTGCTGACATCATGTGGTACCTGAGTCAGTAATTTCTCCTGCAACAAGGTGGCTTTATACAGAACCAGCTAGAGTTTTTCTGCAACCCAGATAAATGTGATCTGAAGAAGCTTCCTGCAAACTATGTATAATTGCATGCATTTTTATATAAAGTACCACAGTGCTATATTATCAAGAACAAATCTTTTAGGAAATTTTATTTATTTCCTCCAACTAGTCTTTAGTTCAAGATGCCCTCCCTTATTCTAAAGGACTTATTAGCAACTGTCCAATCTCTATCCAAGTTGTTCTGGAAATGGTTATCAATATCATTCAGGGAACAACAAGTTCAACTGGATTCTAAATTTTTCTATGATATCTGTGATTCAGCCCTGAATCAAGGAAGTGGTTTTGACAGGTGGCAATCTCTGTGATGCTGTGCTGGCTTTATTAGAACTTTCTGATGTAAAAAAATCAAGATGTTCCTGGGAAATCTGACTAAGGTGGAAAAAAAAGCTTTTCACTGGCTTCATTTCACCCTCTCAAAATACACCAAAGGCCTCTGGACAGGCCTTCAGGCAGACAGATATGTGATTATCCCCAGATAAAGATCAGGCAGGCAGGAGACTTGATAAACCTAGGCCAAAATGCATGCTCTGGGATGCAAAAAAAAAATAATTCTATGGAAATCTATAGGATTAATCTGGATCTTGAAAACAATAAGAACATTTATCTGAGGTTTTACAGATAAGAAGAAACGGATTCATCCCAAATCAAGCATTTGGGGGGTGCTTTCTCCCTGCTGGACTCTAAACTGTACTTTTCAAAAAACAAATTTGTGAAAGCTGCAGAAATTCACATTTTTTTCTACAAATTGGAGAAAATCAAAAATAAAATGCTAAATCCCCAATTTCTGCCTCTTCAATATATCCTGCACCATGTGTGTATATTTATGACATATTTTTGTGACAGCACATGTATGTGACAAATTTGTGTGTTTATTGTGTTATATCTGTGATATGGGTCAACACACAATGAACAGGGAATGAGTAGATGCTATAAGAGAATGAAATGGGATGCAGATGCCAGGAACATAATACCTACTAAGATAGATGTGAAAGGTCAAGAGGTGGCCCAGCAGGAACACAGTCATTAGGCTCAGAAGAATGAAAATCCCAGCTGAGACCAAAATGGCAGGTGCCTGAGTCTCAACAGGAGCTGCAGGAAGAAACACAAACCAGACGTCTGTGTGGTTCTTTAGAACTGCAAAAGAAAAACATAACACTGCAATGAAAACCCTAGAATGGCAAGAGTTAGGAAGTGAGGAGCAAGGTGCAAAGCTGTCTCAGGTGAGAAAAAGAAGCCGGGGGGTTAGAGAATGAGTACTTAGATCAATGGAGAAGGCAGCAAAGGAACAAAGGGCAAAAACGTACTATGGCAAAGGCACTAAAACAAGAGAAGGAGGCAAGTAGCTTGTCTAGGTATTAAATATCATTAAGTAAACTTTACAGATGGAAGTATTGTTAACTCAAAAATAGTAACAGATCCAAAGTTATGCCATTGAGATCTATAAAATCAGTCCAAAGATATTCTTGTAGAAATATAGCACTGAAGGAGTAAGGGAGGAGAATTCCTCCTCAGTGGGAGAGCCCACAGACTCCAATCCCATACAGAGCTGGCCCTCAGGATCTGCTGGCTGATTCTCAAGATGCTCAGCTGAAGCACTGCTAGTACCTTCAAACTGCTGATCCGAACGAAGCATCATGGGATTAATGAAGAACTCCACGAAGACATAGAAAGCTACGAGCAGCAGAAGGCCAAGGCCCAGGATGGCTGACAGCACGCTATTCAAAAAGAGCCTGCCAAAAAGGTGACAAACCTGAGTGGCTTCACTGCAAAATACACATTTGAGACACTGATAATATCACACATACACATTCAAAATCCCAAACTCTAATAGTAAAGAGACAAAGATTTATCCCAAATTACTGTGGCAACTTCTGCTCATTATAAATATAACAGTCTTATTTCTGATTTATTGTCCTGGGACTGTAAATTGCAATCCCTTAGAGCTCTTGTAGTCAAGTCCAGTATTTTTAGGATGGACAAAGAGCTCCCAGGACACTGTCATGACAGTGCAATGCACCACTCAGCATAAGAATTCCCTGTTTTCCTTGTGGCTCTAGTGCGGGAAAATAAACAGAGCAGCAACCATCAGTGACAGCCTTCTTACTCTGTACTTTAGACCCAGGATGGGTTAAAGTTACCCATATGCTCCTTTATCTCCTGCCATGTGACAAGTCTCCCAGGAAAGGTGATCTGGAGTCAGGTTTTTTCTGGGACAGGAACAACAGCATGATTGTGCTTCAGAAGTATTAAAGACACCCAAACCACATCTCATAAGCTTTCCTTAATATCAAATAATCAATTATACCAAATAATTGATTATTTTACTTGTGGATGTTCACCCACAAAATTCTACGTGTGGGAGTTTTATCCCTCCCTTGATTTGAATGTCACACTCAGGCTTGCATCTCCATCTAGTTTTCTCATAACTGATTTTATTCATCTGGGATCTGAAAGCAAAGTGGTTTGTGTGACAGAGCACAGGCTGGACTGAAAGGCAGAAGAGTCCTGGGAGGAGAAAGCAGATATGTTCCCATCGTGATGCCAGGCCCTTACCAGTAATTCCTCTTCCCCACACAGTTGTTGAGCCATTTGCAGTGGTGATCAAAGCCACACACACACTTGTTGCAAGTTCCACAGTGCTTTGACTTGGCACTCCTGCCAAAAAAAAGCATGGTATTAGAGTGGCATCACCAACCTGTCACCATAACTTTCCAGTGGAACAAACACAGAGGGGTACAACAGTAGAGAGAGATCCTGGCAGGAGTTAGAAAACCCACTGCATCAGGAATGTTTAAGCACCCAAAGCTGTTGGCTGTTCTTGGAGCACAATCACAAATACTGCAAAATCTGCCTTTTCTATGCACTGTGCAATTTTTGATTTGAAAATCATCCCTTTCTTATTCTTTGAAGCCCTTCAGCAATCCTGCAAAGCTTCCTCTTCATATCTGCCCTACAAACTTCTCCAGCGTTCAAATTAGTGTCTAGTCAAATCTAAGCACACCACACACAGAAGCTACAACAACACCCAAACAACACAGAAGCACTCAGTACAGTCCTCTCCACACAATAGAACAGATTAAAAACAGCCACACAGCTCCATGACCACGTTCAACAACAGACACCTCCCCAGCCAACTGTCACAGGGTGGACTCCAAACATCACTACAGAATTATGAACTTCAGGGACTCAAATTCAATCTTACAGTCCAATGGTGATGAAGAGATATTAACATAAGATTAGGTACTTACACATCTACATCACAGACATGGCAATGACGATTTTCAATGACATGTGCATGCTGACTACGATTGAAGGTGGCCAGAGGCCCCAAGTAGTTTTTTTTGCGCACATTGGCATCCGCAGGATCAATGGAGACTGCAGTAAGATGAACAACTAAATGGTAGATAAAACACACTCCCGGACACTGAAGTACACAGTTAAGGATTGTATGAGCCATTTGACATCTATAGATTAATTCACAAAGCTCACCTAGGTGAGAAGTACATGGCTTGTCATTAGAAACTACCATATAACTGATTGCAGCACATTCATGTGAGCTTCATTAACATTGCCTCTCTGCAGTAAACAACTTCTGGGTAAACATAACTAAATCTACAGGCACAACCCTCCTTATTATGTACTTCTCTGCCTCATAGAAATGTGCTTATTAGCCCAGAAGTTTCTAAAACTTACCTTTTCTTATCAGAATCTGCCCCTGGGAGCAGACTGTTGGCACAGGTCCACTCCTCTTAGTTCATAAGGAATCCTGGGAAAGGAGCAGCTAGTTAAGGCCGTGCACATGCCCCCTTACAAGACTAAATTAAAAAAAAAAAAAAAAAGAGAGAGAAGAAGAAGAAGAAAAAAAGACAAATCAAGGAACTGGTTCTGATTACCTTGCTTCCTTTCCCTTAGCCACAGTCCTCAGCAAGAGCCAGTAAAGTAGTATTCTACATAACTTATTGAAAAAAACACTACCAGGAATTGTTTTCCTTTCTCTGAAGTTTACCTGCTTAGGTTCTTCTAACTGCAGTAATATGTCAGAGGAAAAAAACTCCTGGGAGCACTTTTGATCCCACATCTGACCTGTTAGTATTTGAAATGAATCCTAAGCAGCAGCCTAACATGTCTGGAATATGATAGTGCTCTGGAGTTTACTTCTCAATATCCTGCAATTTAATAACCATCCAACCAAAACTTAATCTTCCAACTTATTGCTTCTACCCTCAGTTGTACATCTACGTACCTATTTGAACCATGATAACAAAGCAATTGGGTAAGATAGATGTAAGGTTCACTGTTAGTTAATGATATTATTAACAGTAAGTCATGTACACATAACTAAACAATGACAAAGTAATAGAAAAGAAGTGTCCCAGAGGTGTCAAAGGCAGCATGGTCATACTTCCAAATCAAACATATAGTATATCCAAGTAACAAATCGTTAG